TGTTTATGTAAGTGGGACAGTACAGTAGGATGTATGTGTGTGTGTGTGTGTGTGTGTGTGTGTGTGTGTGTGTGTGTGTGTGTGTGTGTGTGTGTGTGTGTGTGTGTGTGTGTGTGTGTGTGTGTGTGTGTGTGTGTGTGTGTGTGTGTGTTAAACATTTTGGTGAATTGCATTGACTGTTGACTTTATCGATGACGAGGCTTCATTTAAATGGCACAAGATGCCTTCTGACAACGAGGGGAAATGCATAACAGCAGTTGTTTTCCATCCCATTAGATCGCATTTTTTCATTGATCAGTCCAGGAGGTGGCGCTGATCGACATCAGTATTGGTTAAAATACCTTAAAAGCCATAAAAAAAGTAGATTAAAACGATCATTTCAAAGCTGTCCAAATGTGATCGTTTATACATGTCAGCTGTTGAGGAAGTTCTTAGCATTCTCCTTGCACATATACGCAAAGCATAATGGGTAATTTTGCGTTGTGAGAAAAAGGTCTATGTAGCACTCCAAATGTGAGTGGCCTAAGATTGAGACCGACGTCTGTGTAACATCACACAAGTCTGCCAAAAACTTCATGGAGTAACTTGGATATTTCTTCCAACCAATTCATTCATGCCTCCAGTTGTGGAAGTGGTGTTTTATAAGACTAAACAGGCACCTGTGAATCTGTGCGTGTGGAGATCATATAGGCTAATCTGAGCTGTTGTGTTTTTCAGCATTTACAGAGCATGCTGAAGACCAAACTGAATGTGCTGACGCTCCGGAAGGATCCGCTGCCGACAGTCATCTTTCATGAGCCTGAAGCCATCGAGCTGTGTTCAACCACACCGAACGCCAAGAACCGCACACATACAGGATACAAGGTAAAAATCACAGATATATGTCTTTAAGAGACACACAGGAGACCCTGCTCAATGAATTTAGATTCTGAGCAGTGTTTTTGATTCATTTTAGAGTAAAAAACTTGAATTAATCTGTTGGGGTAATTCTATAGTTGGTTCCATCATTACTGACACTCGTATTGTGTCTTTACAAATGTTTTGTTTAGTTTCTTTTCAGCTTATTTTGTCTAGTTTTATGCTTCATAGTTTTGTTTTGTTTCAGTTTGGTTTTGGTGGGTTTTTTGTTGTTTTTTTGTTTTCTGCATTTTGTTTTGATTCTATTCAGTTTGTTTTGTTTTGATGCTTTCTCAGTTTTGTTTTGTTTCAGTTTGCTTTATTTTGTTTTCTTTTGGTTTGGTTTTGGTAGGTCTTTTTTTTCAGTTTCAGTTAGTTTTAGTTTGTTTTGTTTTGGTTTGGTTTTGGTGCTTTTTGTTTTGTTTTGGTGTGTTTAATTTTGTTTTTAATGTTTGTTTTTTAGGTTTTGTTATTTATTTCCAGTTTGTTGTTCTGGTTGTTTCCGTTTGGTTTACTTTTGGTGATTTTCTTGTGTTGTTTTTTGATGTTTTAGTTTTTTTGGCATTTGTTTTGTTTCTTTTCAGATTCTTTTGTTTTTCTTTTCTGCTAATTTTGTTTTAGTTTGATTTTGTTTCAGTTCGTTTTGATTTTGTTTTGTTTCAGTTCCTTTGGTTTTGGTTTGGTTGGTGTTTTTGGGTTTTGTTATTTCTATATAGTGTTTTTTGTTTTACTTTTTTAAGGAGGGGTTAGTTCGTTTTGTTTGGTTTTGGTGTATTTTTTGGTGTTTTGGGGGTTTTCTTTTTTTATTAGTCTGGTTTGTTTTATGGGTTTTGTTTTGTTTCTTTTCAGTTCATTTAATTTTGGTTTGGTTTTGTTTTTGTTTCAGTTCGTTTTGGCTTGGTTTTGGTGTTTGTTGGTGTTTTTTTGGGGGGATTGTTTTGTTTCGTTTGGTTTTGTTTATTTGTTTGTTTGCTTGTTTGTTTTACATTGACATTAAGCTATTAACTTGTTACTTTAAGTCAGCTTAATACAAGTTGAAATGACCTGTCAAATTAATTTGATTTAATTAAAATTTAATGCAGAAATTAATTTAAAACAATCAGATTTGCTTTATACTTCTATTTATAAACCTTTAGAATGGCATTAATCTTTGGAATCACTTAACATAATGTTTGGTGAGGATGCCCTGTTTATCTGATGAAGATAAAATATTTCATTAGTAACAATACAAAAGTTCCACTATCACTATATGATAATGTTTCCAATAAAAACCATTCATCTATAAGCTACCTGTTCTTGTGCATCATTGTGGAGTTACATGCATGAATTGGATGGCAGAACAGCCGATTAATGCATAAGCTAAAAATATAGACAATCTCTCAAGGATACAGGCCTACTAAAGAATCTGTGGCGCTGTTGCGATGGAGACCACAGCTTCCATTCATCTGAAAATGCTGGCTAAGGCAAACACAGAGCGTCTCCTTCTCTATATATCTGCCTGTCTCTCATAATCCAGTGTTTCTCCCCTCTCCTCATGAAAGCTGTTGAGTTCGGCTCTTAATTCATGCCACATTTTGGACGTTTAAAGGAATGTACTGTGGGCACGATTTTTGAAACGGTATGCATATTTTCATCTGTGTGTTTTAACATGGACCTCCGAGAATATAAAGCATCTGGCCTGCCTGAAGCACACTCGACCACAAGCATTCCAGCATTTTTGTATGTAGACGGGGTTTTCAAATGATTCTCATTTTTCAGTGATGTCCAGTGCGGTGTTTCAGAAAGAAGCACCTCATCATCCATTGAGGCCCTTTGATTATGTAACAGACTCAACAAAGCCAGTCTATACGCTGTTTCCATGGCGATCAGCCCTGCTTTGAGTGTGTGTGTGTGTGTGTGTGTGTGTGTGTGTGCGTTTGTGTGTGTACTTCACAAAAATAGGATAAATTCTGAGAATTTTTGTGGGGTTCAGCCTTCGGTCTGTAAAAATGCAAGCAGGTTTTCTGTAAGAGGTTTGTTTAGGGGTTGGTTTGGGTTCAGGGATAGAAAATATTTAAAAAAAAAAACAGTAGAAGTCTACAAAAATTCCCCACAATTAACACAAAAATGTGTGTTTGTACTCATAAAGGTCATAAATGGTATAATGACATGGGTAATGACTTAGTTGTGCTCTGTTAATGCATTATGTCTATGGAGCATCTTCGCAAGTTGTGTGTTTGTGTGTGTGCATGTGTGTGCGTGTTCAGAGATAGAAAGCATTGTAAAGTCTATAGAAATTCACCACAAAAACTGTGTTTGTAATTGTTTAGGTTGTATATGGGGACATAAATGTCTATAATGACATGAGCATGACTTAGTTGTCCTTTATTAATGTGGTTTACGAGGACAAAAATTATTTAAGGCTTGAAAATGATACTTATTTGACATTGGGATAGTGGGGCAAGGCCATATTTTAGGCTGTTTTTGCAGTATAAAGGCAATATGAGCATCTTTGTAAGACGTATACGTGTGAGTGTGTATTTGTGCATGCTGTGTGTATTTGTATGTGCACTGGGATAGAGTGCATTGTTTGGTCGGAATTAAAAAAACAATCAAAGTCTGTAGAAATTCCCCACAATTCACACAAAAATGTGCGTTTGTTCTTGTTTATGGGGACATAAAAGTCTATAATGACATGAGTATGACTTGGTTGTGCTCTATTAATGTGGTTTATGAGGACACAGATCATTTAAGGCTTAAAAATAATACTTAATAGGGTATTTTGACATTGGGACAGTTGGGTAAGGCCATATTTTAAGCTGTTTCTGCACTATAAAATACATCATGCCTATGGAGCATCCTTGTAAACCTTATATGCGTGCATGCATGCATGTGTGTGTGTGTGTAAGTGATAGAAAGTACTGTTTGGTTGGTATTAAAAAAAATAATAATAGAAGTCTATAGAAATTCCTCACAATTTACACAAAAATGTGTGTTTGTTCTTGTTTATGGGGACATAAAAGTCTATAATGACACGGGAATGACTTGGTTGTGCTCTCTTAATGTGGTTTATGAGGACAAAAATTATTTAAGGCTTGAAAATGATACTTAATAGGGTATTTTGACATTGGGACAGTGGGGTAAGGCCATATTTTAAGCTGTTTTTGTAGGATAAAATTTGCATTATGTTTATGGAGCATCCTTGTAAACCTTAAATACTTGCATGTCTGCGTGTGTTCAGGGATAGAAAGTACTGTTTGGTCAGTATTTAAAAAAAGAAAGAAAAATAGAAGCCCAAAGAACATTTGGACAATGGGACAAGGCCATATTTTAATCAGTTTTTCTGTTTAAAAAGGATATTCCCCACTGAAAGTGTGTGTTTGTACTTGTTTATATTGTTTATGAGGACATAAAAGTGTATAATGACATGAGTATTACTTAGTTGTGGTCTATCAATGTGGTTTACGAGGACAATAATAAAATATTGAATAGGGTATTTTTACATTGGGACAGTCGTGTATATGCGTGTGTATACATGTGCATATCTGCATGTGCATTTTTGTGCGTGTGTTTGTATACATGTGCATGTGCTTGTGTGTGTGTGTGTGTATACCTGTGCTCTGTCAAGGTTTTGGATGATTTGGACAGCTGTGATTGAATGACAGATGTTGTCCGTGTGTGTGTGTGTGTGTGTGTGTGTCTGTGTGTGTTGTTGAGTGTCAGTAAGTGTGGTTTCTGTATTGATCTCCTCATAACTGTGAGGGATTGTGGGATTGGCCGCTCTTTGATCAGGGTCGCTTATGGGTTTAAACTGTCACCACAATCCAGCATAAACACATTCTTCCTCTGCCCTGATGTCTCTGTCTGACTCTCAAAGAGATGAATGTGTATTTTGAGGGATTCACGATCCCGCTACAGGAACCATGAGGGTGAGTTTATACAGTAGTGTAATATTTGTTTAGTGCAGCATATACAGTGGGGGAAATAAGTATTCAACGGGTCACCATTTTTGAAGCTTAAAGACGCCTCTCATGTGGAGAATGAAGTCACATGCATTGCTCAGGTGTGAATTTTTCACAAACTTCAACAGAGGGTAGAAATCTTGATGGTTCTGTGGGTCTCGTCGATCAAATCGGATCTTTATTTTGTATTCTCTATTGGATTCAGCTCAGGTGTTTGGCTGGGCCATTCTGAAGCTTGATTTTCTTTCTCTAAAAGCATTTCAGTGTTTCCTTGGCTGTGTTTTGGATCATTGTCTTGCTGAAATGTCCACTCTAGTTTCATCTTCATCCTCCTAATGTAGATGTTGGACTGAAGCAGCTCATATTCATTTACGCTGAGGAAGGGCAGAGGGTTGCTGAAGAACTACTGGGAGATTTCAGCTGCTGTCTGGTCTTTCACTGCCTTTCTACACCTCCCTTTCTTCATGTGTTCACTACTTTTTTTCCTCTTTCCTTTTTTTCCAGTCAACAGCATCTTAAGAAATATGTTTTCTGTGAAAAATGGTGAAGTGTTGAATACTTATTTCCCCCACTGTATATACTCATACTGGATAATGGTAGCTTATTATTTTATATAACGTCAACAGCAATGTAATAATGCCAAATACCTGCCATTTTAAATGTGGCAGAGTGAAAGCATGAGTCCAACACTATTCATAATTCAGCTTCAGCATCATGATTCTTTGTGTTCATCATTGCTTTATACTTTAAGGATTATGACCAAGTAAATATATA